TTGAGACGATTATTTTGTGAGATAGCTTATAAAGTTTATCTTGACAGGACACAGGTACAGCTTCATATATATTTCTTTTTTTATCCTTTTAACACATATCATGCAAGTATAAAAAAATGGTAATAAAAAAAAATACAAAAAATTAATATGGTGCGAAATATAGCTCATCATTTTGAATACAACATATGCTATAACATAAATATATATAAGGAACGTACATTTTTTTCTTTTTATAAAACAATATCGTAAAATCTTACATGTAGAAAAATAATGAGATAAAATAAGGGGGAAAGAACGATAGATTAATTAGAGCATTAATACGTTTACTCTCTTATTCATGATGTGTACATAATGTAGAATACATAATAAGTATAATTTCATTATTTTCAGAATAGTGGAAATAATTTTCCCATCCATCCAACCTTTTTGTATCTTCTTAAGGTTCTTATGAGGACATGTTGACTTCTGCGTTTTCTGATTGAGAAGTTACTTTTGAAACTTTTTCTTTCTGTTCATCCTGTTTCTCCTTTTCTTCTGAGTCATCAAAGTAGTATGAATCCTTATCATTAGATTTGCTGTTATCGACGTCATCAGACTCATTTTCAAATATGGGGTCTAAATCTTCCTCATCGAAATTGAAAATGCTGTTTATTAATCGGCCTTGGAAAAACGCCTGAAAATTTAGGTGAGAGAAAAAAAAGGGGGTAAAATTAAAATTTATGCACAAAATGGGAATATTTGACAAAGAAAGATCATCATAATGGGAAAAAAAGAAAAAAAAAAAGGAAGGGCATATGATCTCTTGTATTTTGAGCAGTCTCATTTTTACGCATATCGCACCTTATCAATTAATCTGTAGCACAAAGATAAGAACAAAATCAAGAAAATATAGGTGGTGATCAAATTAGCGGACGAAGTGTCATGATAAGTTTGCGTATACACTTGGTGAGAAGTCACTGGAACGACTGGTCGAGTAATTCCATATCTGTGAACTAGAGTTTGGTAGAATTTAACTTTTGGCGGGGTAATATCGTATGAGAACACCATTTTCGAATAAAAAAGATTGCTTAAAATAAATATATTGAAACTTCTTCTCTGTTTATCTCTATACGTGTGATTATTCTTATGCTACAAATGCCAATGGAAAGTTATATGCTATATTAATATAATATTAAGAATTTTGTATAAATTTATTTGTAAAGGTAATTGGAAATATTATATTCCCCTTAAAATGGCAGTTTAATTGAAATACATATAATTACTTTGAGAACTCTTAGTTTAACACATAATTTTTCCAAAATGTTAATAAAAATTTTAATAATTTTTTTTATTGCTTTATAGAGCTAGGAGAAATTTTATTTTTGTATTCATTTGATAGCTTCTTACAAGGAATGAAAAAACAAATTATGCGAATGTCATGTAAGTATAATATAAAATACGTGTATTAAAATCTAAACAATAAAATAGGGGGAAAGTATTTTTTTTTTTTTGTGCCGGGTAATGAAATATAATTTTATAATAATAAAGATAGATATAAAAATGGTGTTATTCAAGAACTTGGGGATCGACCTCGAAACGTTAATTCTTTAAATTACGAGGAATATGTATTCAAATTTTTCTATTTTTATCATAAAGAAAAAAAAAAAAATATATTATATATGGATATATGTATATAGTATAATTATATATTAAAGCTGAATATTTAGATAAATATTTTTTTTAGTATCATCATCAATTGGGGTAAGTACAAATGGGTGGTACGTTTTATTTTACTTTTTTTCTTTCTGCATATTATTTTTACGAATTTTTGAAAAAACTCTCCGATAGAATTTTTTTTTTTTAAATTTATAGTAATTTTTGAAATAATAAAAAAAAATCACGGATATGGCAATGTTGGGAATATAGATAAATAATAGTCATCGGAACTGGATCCCTAATTTATAATTATGTACATTAAATTTACTCATCACATGTATGTACATTTAATTGGACCTAAATTGACATATTTTTGAATTCTTATATTTCTGCGTAAAATGAAATAAGTTAATAAACGAAAAAGATAGCAAAGACTGCGTCATTTGTATAATTTAGACGAACTTCTTCTTAATTTTGTGAATTTTAATTTCTCATTGACTCTAATCAACCGAAAGGGAAATATAATAAATTTTAATAATTAATCAATCTATAAGTTAAATTATGGAGTACATTATTGTGCGGTACAAAAATGAAATTTTTCTTATCCTTTAGGAAATTTTAAGTGGGTTATTAGTTAGAAATTTACACTATTCATGATTTATCCGTTAAATATGTCATTGCGACAAATGGATTAACTTTTTTTTTCTTCTTTTCAATTGCGGTAATTTGAAGTAATTTCTTTTAGCGAATTTTAAAATTTCCCATTCGAGAAAATCGAAGGAAGTGAAAATATTATAAATATGTACATGCTAAGCGGTTGCGAAAATATTTTAAGTAACGTAATTTCCTGTGAACATTAAAAAATTAAATAAATGTATTTTTTTTTTTTTCCATTTTTGTTGTGGTGCAGTTTTTTTTTTGGCAAGCGTTATTTTCGCGGTCATGTTTGAAATATCATTATAGATAAGCGTGAACTGAACAAACACACTACCATTCTGCTTTTTTGCTTTACTTGCATTTGAAATGCTTACTGACCCGCTTATACCCTTCTTATGTTAACCGATTAATATGCACTGTAAAGGAAGGGCCTAGTTATTTGTACAAAAAAAACAGCAAAAAAAAGTAATTTAAAGTGTTAACCTTTATGTAAGAATAAAATAGCGAAATGTGGAACAAGTTCTGATCAAATTAGGCTCAGATAAAAGTTCAAATACGTCATCTAGTAAAAGTGCATAAATAAATAATCGTTTGTGTGTTAGCCTTTTCGCGAAATGTGACAATTTCGTTTTAAAAGGAGCTGCAATAAGTTCATTCATATAATTCACTTGCTTAATTGTTAGATGACTAGGATGAACTTCAAAGTGATTTGAAACAGTATCACGTTGCACATTATACATAGGGTTCTTTTGAATGTATTCCCCGACATGCTGCAGACCTTTTGACAACTCATTTTTCGTGTTTTAAAAAAGGGTCAGAAAAGAAAGGTTATAAATTAGAAATTACAAAAGAATTCCAAGTAAATAAATCAACCAAAATTGCGTCGTAATATTGTTTTAATCACAATTCTGCTGTTGCAAGAGTCCCTTCATTTAACGTATAAGTGTAACATTTGCTACTCGGGAAAGGATATTTTTTTTGTGGACATGTTTTATAACAAATAGGGTTTTTTTTTTGTTATCTTTTATATGCATAAGAGGTCACGGTACCCTTTCTTTCTGCACATTTTAAACAGTACATTTCGTCCTGCTTATACAATGAAGTTCTTGTTTGTGATAGAATGGAAAAAAATTAGCCCCAATTTATCCGATTTACACGAGGGGGTTAGTACTTAGAGCGCAGGGCCCTAGAAGGGTCTTTTAAATAACTTTACAAATGTGTCAGTATTCTTATAGACATAAAAAATATTCCACACTGCTATCATGTTTAGTTCAATATTTGGTGGTACTTAAGGGGAAAAGGCAACACTTCGTAGAAGGGCTAGTTAATAATATGTTAAATAAAAAACAATTTCTGATGCGCTTAAAAAATTTTGGAGGCAACATAATGGCAAGTATGCACATATTCAGGCTTAAAAATGCTTTGCGAAGAGTAGGGTGGGTTCCTAATGAGGGGTTATAAATAGAAGTGGTAATCTTCCATATATATCTATGTACGTATTATGCATAACCTTCACCCCCCTTGAGGATTACATAGAAAAAACCATACATTGCTGTATCAGTACCTTTACCAAGGAGATATGAACAGTACCGTTTTAAGAATTTTGGCTAAAACGAAAAATTTAAACACATTTATTGCGTGCCGTTGTTATTAAAATTTTTGATTTTATATATTAACAGTGGAGAGGAAGGCCCGGAAATTGAAGATTCGTCATGAAAGGGGATATAGATATTTCACGTTAAAATTAACGTTCCTTTGAAACTAGCAGTGGCACTGAATGTCCTATATTTGCCTCCTTCCTTTTAGAGAACATGACATTTGTCATAGAAATAATGATGTAGCACGTGCATGGAATCATATTTTATTACACATTTGTAGGCTACAGCATCCTGCAAGCAGTAAAAATAACCATTACAGGTGATCATTCGTTTGTGTTTTATTTTATTCGTAGTATATAGAGTCATAACACAAATAGAGGCTTTAAAAGCAGATTAACTGCTCAATAAACCTTTTCTTTAAAAGCGAATTTGTTATTTGACTTAACAGAGGAAAACGTTACTTCACGTTAATCATATCCCTTACGATATTATCGTATTAAAGTAAAAATTGGAAAATTTTCTCTATAGAATTTACGGAATATAAATAATTGCAGGAATGTGTGATTTCATCGTCGATGGTGATGTTTTTTAAGCAAAAACGTTCAGTAAGCAATATATAGTAACTGCTAATATATATCTTGTCGCTTTGTACCCTGAAATGTAATAATCTTGACGACACACCATCTTTTGCTATTATACTACTATGCTGTCATACATTTTGGGTAAAAAATATTATACAGGTGTTGGTTTAAAAATTTATAGCTCGATGTATTTGTCGTTTTCGTTTATGGTTTACAAATCTTTAAACTGGGTAGGGGCACATAAGGGTCAAGAGGAACAGTAAAAAATGAAACTGCGGTAATTTTTATGGCATATTTTATGGCCCATTCTGTGGCCCAATTTGTTACCCATTTTTCGCATATATTCAGTATGCAGTGTAACGTATACATGATAGGAATAATTATTTGCGTTTTATTTTTTTACCAGAAGGACATGAATGTTTTCTAATTGAGAATTATATTTTGAAAAATAGAAAGGAGCAGTAATAAACTGCGTTTCGAATTATACCAAACATTTGTTATCTGGGAAAAATAGCCTAAGAAAGATTGTTTTTTTGCATGGGCTTTATGTCCCTTTGAATGATTTTTATGAAAACGTTATGACAAATTTTGGGACTGGGTTGAGCTGCTGGCACGGTACATACTTTTATAGGTTATGGTAACTCCAGTTTAAAAAATACGATTATATATGGTTATACATGTACCTAATGACATGCATAAAAAATATGCGTGGCAGTAATTGTAGCACTTTTGCAAGTTTTGATGAAAGAAATAAAAAAAAAACGTATCTATTGTTATATAAATAAAATAATATATAATTACATAAATAAATATTCTTCCTATTAGAATAAAAGAGTTTTTTTAGTATTTTTTCGAACTTGGGTCTGACGGATTTGTCAATAAAAATGCTACTTTATCAACCTTTATTTTATTAATAGTGTCGAATGGTAATATTTTCGGAAACAAAAGGTGAATATAAAATCCATAATCTAAGTACA